TCTTCCCAATTTTCTATTGCCCCCTTTGTGGTTTGGAGGCAGCTTTTGTCTGCCCCCCCCCCCTCTACCCCCCCTCCTCATCCTAATGACCTCTGCGACGGCTTTTTACTCCATCACACTCTCCGCCTTTGAAGAAAGAGGGAATCTATGTCTGGGCCCGGACTGAGTTATGACGTCAGCGGCGTGAAAGAGAGTTTTTTTAAACCAATGGTGAGTCTACGTATGTCCATGCATGTGAGGGTGGGGGCGCTGACGGGTCACTGCCCATCTCACTTTTCTGCAGATGCGCTCCATTGAGGAGGCGACACGCGGCGGGACGCTGCTGGGAGGTAGTTACTATTTGCCCATTACCATAGAAACTCACACGGGGGCTTTGAGGTGGACCGGGCCGGGGGCTTCGCTGACACGGACTTTCACACCACTCTAAGTCCTGACAAAACAGCCAATGGATCGCGGCCCTCGGAATAATACCCATTTGTGGCCGGTTCACTTGCAAAATGAGCTGCCAACAAAATGCTATGACAGGCTGTCGGCGCACATGACACCCCGAAAAAGTGAGGGGCCTCCTTTTTACACAGGACGGAGAGAAAACAAAAAACAAAAAAACAAAAAAAACCCAAAGTGAAGTGAAGGACGGAGAGAAGCTGTCGAATCAGGAAACACACGGAGTTTGATTTGTTGTGATGGGAAGTGAAAGCAACAGGTTATCAGGAGCTGAGTGTGTGTGCTGTCAGAGTCCATCTGCGCTGAGTACATGTGGACACACACACACACACACACACACACTCATACACACACTGCTGTTCCTGTGAGGCCTCTTCACTCATTTACATTTATTCAGAAACCTGACTTTGACTCTGACCAGGTAGTGGTAGATAGAGTTGGCAGGAATTTTACTATAAACCAACAATATCAGAAAACAAAAGTGAGGGGCGCGTCTCCAAAGGGGTTCCGTGGGTCAAACACATTTCAAATTTGGGAAAAAGTCATTTTATTTTATTTTATTTTTTCCTTTTTTGTAATTTTATTGACCTTATGTTGTTTATACAGAACAGCAGGTTTGTTTGAATTAAAGCTTTTAATGAAATCAATTTAAGTAAAGTTTAAAAGTAAAGTTTTTATTATTGACTTTATGTTGTTTATACAGAACAGCAGGTTTGTTTGAATTAAAGCTTTTAATGAAATTAATTTAAGTTAAGCAAAGTTTTGAAATGAAAGTTTTTTATTTTATTTTATTTTATTTTATTCATGTATTTATTTATGTATTTTTAATTTTTTTTTTTAATTTTTTTAAATTTTTATTTTTTTATTTATTCATGTTTTTAATTTTTTTTCCCAGTGTCTGAGCGAAGTGTCCACCTGTGGCTCCAGACCTGGTCGATGGAGACCCCCGTGAGGAGGATCCAGGTGTGGAGGGAGGGTCAGGATCAGCTCAGGGTGAGTACAAACAAGATGAACTTAACGATGTTATTGGAGGTTGACGGCTCCACTGATCACCAGGCGCTCAGCGCTGTAGAGAAATCACTGGTCATGAAAAAAAAAAATCCCAAAATGTCGTTGTTGTTGTTGTTGTTGTTGTTGTTGTTGAAGGAAAAAAACAAAACGACATTAAACTCTGTCTGAATGACAGTTTCTGGGATTATAATCCGTCCCTAATCTGCAGGCTCTCAGATTAGACATGCGCTCTGACGCTGACGTGCGTCAGGTTCTCACAGCTGCTACCTTCACGTATGATGTGATATGGTGCTGGGCTGTAATTGGCCATTGTGGAAGGTAGGAGGTCAGAGTTCACAATTGATCCCCTCACCCCTGTGGCAGGTGCAGCTCACGGGGGGGGGGGGAGGTGGCCCCTCGGCTCTCCCACCTCTTCACGCTGCTCAGCCACAGAAAGGGAGGAGTGTAAATGAGTGCTCTCCAGAAAGCCATCACCTGCTCCCTCCACCCGAAAATCCCCGCCGACTCGGCCCAGACACAGATATCCCAGAAAGCCCGGCTCCGGTTTTTCCATCTCTGCTTAATCACAGAGATAGAGATGGACAGAGAGAGCGAGAGAGAGGGAGAGAGAGAGAGGGAGAGAAGGGAGAGAGAGGGGAGTCAGAAATTTCAACTATTAGCATCCATGCAGTGGTTTTGTTTCCTCTGTGTTTGTGTTGTTTTGTGCATCAACTCCGTGAGTGTACGTTTGTCATGGCTGTGAATCAGACTGGATGGCCATTCAGTTTGTGCACACACACACACACACACACACACACACACACACATAGCCCATGGGTGAGGCTGTGTATTGATGGGTGCCCCTCCCAGCTTCTCCCAGACCCCCCCCCCCCCCCCCCCCCCCCCCCCCCTCCCTCCCTCTCCTGTATCGTCTTCCTC